GTAAGGAACAAATCACCTTTTTTTTAAAAATGGTTAATTAAGGGCAAAGATTAAAGTTTTTGTTTTTTTAAACCTGCCTTACGCTATTTCTTAAAGCGTTCAATTCTACTCTATCAACATGAGCTTGTAGCTGTTTGCCGTATATACTCGCATTGAGGTCACGCCAGTGGATACGTCGCAGCCTTAGTTTGTGGTCAGCCAAGTGGGTATTTGCGGTCGACCCGCGTCCCTTTAAAGTTCGGTTATCAGAGTGTCTATTTGCGCCCTAAACCGACAGAAAGAGAGCACGCGATTCGACAAGGTTTCCTATCAATGAGTACAACACACTGGTTAACAGTCAGCGGAATTAATGTTTACCAGATTTAGGTCGCATGCCAGATTTTCACCAAATTTGTGGGTTTTAAAAAAAGTTTGACTTTTCACGAGTGTGTACGGTACATTTTAACAGCGATGACCTTTACATGAGTAAATACGGTACGTTTTAAACGCAGTGATAACCCATATATGAGTAGACACGGTACGTTTTAAACGCAGTGATAACCCATATATGAGTAGACACGGTACGTTTTAAACGCAGTGATAACCCATATATGAGTAGACACGGTACGTTTTAAACGCAGTGATAACCCATATATGATTAGACACGGTACGTTTTAAACGCAGTGATAACCCATATATGAGTAGACACGGTACGTTTTAAACGCAGTGATAACCCATATATGAGTAGACACGGTACGTTCTAAACGCAGTGATAACCCATATATGAGTAGACACGGTAAGTTTTAAACGCAGTGATAACCCATATATAAGTAGACACGGTACGTTTTAAACGCAGTGATAACCCATATATGATTAGACACGGTACGTTTTAAACGCAGTGATAACCCATATATGAGTAGACACGGTACGTTTTAAACGCAGTGATAACCCATATATGAGTAGACACGGTACATTTTAAACACAGCGACACGTCATAACATGGCACTTTTATTTGCATGTACCAAAAAGAAAATGTTTCATTATGCTTTCAATTTGTTAAATAATCTAAATGAAATGATGTTCATTGAAAATGTCTGCAAGAAATACGCATCTTTTCCCCCCTCCCCCCTTTTGTCCTCAATTTTCCAAAATCAGAACACTCCCATCCCCCCCCCCTTTTCCACATTCGTCCACCCCTTCTCCCGGGGTTTCAGAAGCCCACATGGCGCTATGCAGTGTGAGAATCCAAGACATTTAAGAACGACCCGTTAGCTCGCACCCTGACAATTTATTATTATTATTTTTTTAAAAATTATTTTATCATTATATTTTATTAAATTATATTTTGAATTATGTTTTGTGTTTTAATCTAAAAAGTGTTTCTAATGTAATGTTTGTGTAACTATGTTTGTGGAAAATAAGCCTAAAGTCTGTGGTGCCATACATGTTTTCTGTATTGTGAAAGTAATATTGTGTGTTGTTTCTTGTTTATGGATGCTGGTTTTGTGTTATAGCTCTGTCGATATCTACTGGGTGAACTGTACCGGCTTGTATGATTTGTTTAAGTGTAGATTTAGTCTGTAATATTGTGTTGCATGTCAGATGTTGTTCTGTCTCATCAGTCCCTGTCCTTCAGAGTGGACATTCTATGTTCCTAACCCTGTCCATTGTATGGTCTTGATGATACTGGCGTCATGTTGTGTATGAGTCTATATGTTATTTCTTTGTCTTTATTTTATATTCCTTTCATGTGTGTATTTTTAAATGTATTTTTAGTATTTATTGTTCCCTGACGTATTATTTTGCGCACCTGGTGTGCATTCACCTCGTACAACTGCAAGTGAGCTTTCTATAAATATAATACATTAATTGGTGATATTGGTTTTGGGAATCTTCACTATCTCCCATCAAATAAACCCTGGCAACCTTACATTTGTGATTTATATATTTTTTAAATATAATTTTGTTTGTTTTTGTTTTTTGTTTGGGAAAGAGGTTTTGAAAGTGATGTGAGAACTCAAACACTCTCAACTGCACGTTTACTAGCAGGGGCGCCGCTTTCGGCAGTATTTACTCTCACGAGGGCGTCACGTTGGCAACATAAACAAACACTCAAAAAAAAACAACAACAATGCTCTCATTAATCAGCAAAGCTGTCTTACCTTCCGCACCGCCTAAAGGCTAGACGTTAATTTTTGTGCAACGATAATGAAAAAAAACAATTACAATAAACGTGCATTGCTGACCTCGCCGCAGAGCAAAATGATGATTTTTTTTTAAAAATTAAACGTGTATAGCTCATATAAGTCATGTAATGAAAACCAAGAATATGGATCTCTGGATCACAACATCCCAATGGCCCGAGATGCGTTTGTTCCACAGCACAATATCTCAGGAACACGCCTATACAAAAAAAATATAAAAAAATTTCACAAATTCTTAATAATTATCGACATCCCACCACTTATGACACAGCACATCCAATGACTACAACAAGAATGTACAGATTTACAAACAAATACAACAATATATATATATATATATATATAAAACTATGAGATTAATCGCTGTCAACGAATACACAAAAGTAAAAGAGATTCTTGGACCACAACCTTGGACAAAATATAGCGGCTTGGGCGAATCCATGCTAAAGTTGCCGACAAATATATAGGAAAAAAAGTGACGCCCCTTGTCTTTGAAAAGTACATGGGATTCCATCGTTAAAAGTCCCCTATCTAAAGACGCTTTAGGCGCCCCTCTGATGTTGATACCCGGGCCGACTGCCTCCTTCGCCCCCGCCCCCCTCACACTGCCCTGTGTAATGCGATCGTGGCATGACAAGATTACAGGTAAGAGTTTGTATTTATTAATTCATGCAAATGCAAACTGGAGATGGTATCATGATGTTTATTGCAGTCATATTTATAAGTAACACAATGGGACACTTTTGTTAGGTTGTTCATTCTGACATATAATAGTCGTATGAATTTGATATCAGCATATGTATGAATTTAATATCAGCATATGTATGAATTTAATATCAGCCATATGTATGAATTTGATATCAGCATATGTATGATTTTAATATCAGCCATATGTATGAATTTAATATCAGCATATGTATGAATTTAATATCAGTATAGTATAAATTTAATATCAGCATGTGTATGAATTTAATATCAGCATATGTATGAATTTAATATCAGTATAGTATGAATTTAATATCAGCCATATGTATGAATTTGATATCAGCATATGTATGAATTTAATATCAGCCATATGTATGAATTTAATATCAGCATATGTAACAATTTAATATCAGTATAGTATGAATTTAATATCAGCATGTGTATGAATTTAATATCAGCATATGTATGAATTTAATATCAGTATAGTATGAATTTAATATCAGCCATATGTATGAATTTGATATCAGCATATGTATGAATTTGATATCAGAATATGTATGAATTTAATATCAGCCATATGTATGAATTTAATATCAGCCATATGTATGAATTTGATATCAGCATATGTATGAATTTGATATCAGAGCAAGCAGACAAGATTATCATGTAAACAGACATACAAACACGAAGGGTCGAACAAATGTAAAACATTCATCAAAATAACATGTTTGCAGAATGAACAGCAGGGAAATAATCATGAAACAATTTTAATAATTAGTAACAGTCAGTTCTTAATTGGTTTTGTCATGGACAAGACACCCGGGGGGGTGGGGGGTCTCATTCTCATGCCAGTCTTGCTGAGTAAAAGGTCACATGAGATTGTCACGCCCTTCCAAAAGATGGTCTACCAGCCCATTGGCCAGAACAGCCTTGTATACGCAGGGGGGGGGGGCGTCAATTGACACCGGGGGGGGGGGGTGCCTTACCTTAAGTGTGTTTTTCGATCAGCTATAGACGAAAAGGATCTAAATTTCCGAGGATTGAAAGTCTTATTGTAATATAAATGATTTTTAAAAATCACGAATGGATCTTATTACAGAAATCGATGGACTTGCTGAAAGAGATTGTTCATTTGAAATAGGCAATGTGTCTGTTGTCTACGGCTCAAGGAGCATAAGTGTTAAGGGGGCTAAAGAAGCCTGTTGAAAATACGTAGATGCTGTATCAACATTAGATGGTTCCAAAAGAGATATAGATAATGTTGCCACATTAGATAGTTTCACATATAGATGATGCATCAACATTATATTATGATTGTAAGGAAATTGATGTAATATCAACATTATATTATTGCAGGGAAATGGGTGATTTATAAACATTAGATGGTTACAGGGATGTCTCAAAATGTTATGGTTGATTAGATGGTGACAGGGATGTCTCCAAATGTTATGGTTGATTAGATGGTGACAGGGATGTCTCAAAATGTTATGGTTGATTAGATGGTGACAGGGATGTCTCAAAATGTTATGGTTCCAAAGAAATAGAGGAAGTATAGAAATTGGATGGTTGCAGAGAAAAAGATGATGTATAAAAAATGGACGGTGGTAGAGAAATAATTGATGTTTCTGATTTAGAGGATCTAAGAGATTCAGATGATGAGTTTAAAGTAGACCCTTCCGGTAAACTTGACAATGTACCAGACGTAGATTGTTCAAAAGAACTGGATGAAATATAAGCACTAACTGAAAACTGAGGCAACAACGATAATGTATCAGGCAAAGATTGCTCTACTGAAGTCCCTTCAAATGTGTCTTGTTTGGGCAAGGTATATGACGTGTCTAAAGTACTTAGTGCGGGTGAATTCGAATACTTATCAGAAGTAGAGGGTTCAACTGAAATCAACGATGCTCCTGGAGTCTTTGGTTCCAGGGATATCGATGCCGTTTCCAAAGGGGATGACTGAGGTGGAATTGGAAATGCAGCGGAAGTAGATGTTGCAAGTTGACTCGACGATTTACCAGCAGTGGATGTTTCAAATGAAATAGACGTTGAAAAAGAAATAAATGCTGTATCTGAAGTGGATAGTTCAAGGGCTCTAAGAAGAGCATCTGAAGTGGATAGTTCAAGGGATCTAAGAAGAGCATCTGAAGTGGATAGTTCAAGGGATCTAAGAAGAGCATCTGAAGTGGATAGTTCAAGGGATCTAAGAAAAGCATCCGAAGTGGGTGGTTCGATAGGAAAAGATGATTCCCCTGCATATGATGTTGTGATATAAATAGTGGAAGAATATGGAGCTATTAGGGGATTAGAGGAAGAATCTGAAATAAGAAGTGGATTAGTGGAAGAATGTGAGATCAGCAGTAGATTAGTGGAAGAATCTGGAGTTATTAGAGAATTAGAGGAAGAATCTGAAATAAGAAGTGGATAAGTGGAAGAATGTGGGATAGTTAATGGGTTAGTGGAAGAATCTGAGATGAGTGGTGTATTAGAGCTAAATAGGTTTTGAGAAAGAAATGGAACTTGGGAAGAAAACAAGAAGGGAATGGGAGATAATTCTGATGGTGTCAGGGGGGAGATTACTAAAGTCCCTAAACTAGATGTTGCATCTGGCACTCTATTTGATGGAGACGCTGTTGAAATTAATTGGGTGCCCAAGTCAGATGTTGGTTCGGCAAATACAGGATTATCCGAAAGTGACGATGCAACCAAAACAGATATTTTATCTGAGGTCCCTAAAGAAGCAGATGGCGCCTCCGACGGAGATGTCGGTGAAATTGAGCCTGAATTCGCAGCAAACGTAGCAGGGGCTAAAGATGAAATATCTGAAAAAGACGATTCTGTAAGAGCAATTATATTATGTGAAGCTGATGTCGCTAGAGAAAAAGACGAGGACTCCACAGGAGAAATCGGTGAAATATATTCTGAATTCAAAATAATAGTTGCCAGAGATAGAGATGAAATTTCTGAGAATGACGTTGCGTCTGAAATTAGGGATGTGCCAACAGACGGCAATACGGATATAGCGTTGTGGGTTTCTGAAGAAGAGAATGCTGATAAAGTAAAGGATGGTTCCGAAGAAGGTAATTTCAGTACAGTGTATGGTGTTTGCAAAGAAGATGATGTTGATGCAGTATAAAATGTTTCTGAGGAAGGTGATGTTGATACAAAATCGAATGTTCCTGAAAAATCCGATGTTGATAAAGAATATGGTGCCACTAAAGACAGTGATGCCAAAGCAGTGTAAAGTGTTTCCGAAAAGGGTAATGTTGATACAGTGTAGGGTGTTTCTGGGGAAGTTAATGTTGAGAGATTATAGTTTAGTTCTGAAGAAGGTGATTTTTGTACAAAGTATGATGTTTCCCAAGAAGTTAATGCTGATGCAGTATCGGATGTTTCTAAAGACGGTGTTGATACAGAAAATAGTGTCTGTCTTGAAGGTGAATCAAAAACTGTGTAAGGTGTTTCTGTAGGAGGTGATGTTGATATATCATATGATGTCTTAAGGTCATAGGATGTTTCTGAAGATTGGTTTGTTAATGCGATATAGGACTTTTCGTGGGTTTCTGAAGAAGGGAATGCTGACAGAGTAAAGGATGGCTCTGAAGAAGGGAATGCTGACAGAGTAAAGGGTGGTTCTGAAGAAGGGAATGCTGACAGAGTAAAGGATGGTTCTGAAGAAGGGAATGCTGACAGAGTAAAGGATGGTTCTGAAGAAGGGAATGCTGACAGAGTAAAGGATTGTTCTGAAGAAGGGAATGCTGACAGAGTAAAGGATCGTTCTGAAGAAAGGAATGCTGACAGAGTAAAGGATGGTTCTGAAGAAGGGGATACTGACAGAGTAAAGGATGGTTCTGGAGAAGGGAATGCTGATAGAGTAAAGGATTGTTCTGGAGAAGGGAATGCTGATAGAGTAAAGGATGGTTCTGAAGAAGGGAATGCTGATAGAGTAAAGGATGGTTCTGAAGAAGGGAATGCTGATAGAGTAAAGGATGGTTCTGAAGAAGGGAATGCTGATAGAGTAAAGGATGGTTCTGAAGAAGGGAATGCTGGTAGAGTAAAGGATGGTTCTGAAGAAGGGAATGCTGATAGAGTAAAGGATGGTTCTGAAGAAGGGAATGCTGATAGAGTAAAGGATGGTTCTGAAGAAGCTGAGGCTAAAACAGTGTATGATGTTAACTGAGCGGGTGTTGTTGTCGCATCAGGAAATGTTTCTGAGAACGGGAGTGATGATATAACGTAGGATGTTTCTATAGATGGTGAAGTTGAAACATTGTAGTGTCCTTCTGAAGAAGATAATGATAAAGTAAAGGCTGTCCCTGGTGAAGCTGATGGTGATACAATATTGGATGTTTCTGAGGGAGATGATGCATGAAGACTCTCCCATAAACGTGATGCTGACACAACATGTAAGATTTCTGAAAAGGATGATGATAAAGTATGTGATGTTTCTGGAGAAGGCGATGCTGATATGGTGAAAGGCGTTTCTGAAGGGCTTGATGTTGAGACATCATTTGAGGATTCTGAATAGGACAACGTTGATGCATGATACGATGTTCCCGTAAGAAGAAATTTTGATGCGTTAAGGGATATCTCTGCTGAAGGTGATGTTGATGCATTGTATAATGTTTCTGAAAAGGGTAACGTTGATACAGTAATAGATGTTTCTGCAGGGGTGGTTGTTGTTGATACAGTATGGATGCTCTCCGGTGAAGCTGATAATGATAGAGTATACGATGTTTCTGTATGAAGTAATGCTGATGCAGTAAGGGATGTCTCCGCTGAAGGTGATAATGATTCAGCATAGGACGCGTCTGACGGATACGTTAAAGTTTTCGCCGTGGCCGTGTCTAGCGCGGATGTTGGGGTAAAAAGTGCGGTATCCACATTGGTTTCTGCACCTGATACTCGTGCTACAGTTGACACGGATGTTGTAGTTAATACTGATGCTGTACTCGCTGACAACACTCCAGCTGATGTGGTAAAACTCATCGTAACCAGAGAGGTTGTTTGAGCTAATGTCGAGTCCAGAGTAGAATTTATGTGAGAAACTGTTGAGCTGAAAGTAAAATACGTTGAGGATGTCGCCTCTAAAGAATAATTTGTTGCAGAACTCGAAGTCGCGTTGGACGTCAACGTCGCATCTGACTTCAGGCCTGGCGCCGGAGTCGTCGTTTCCTCCGGAGATGACGTTGTGGCCGATGCCCGGCAAGCGTAGTCCCATGTTTTCCCGTAGAGGTCGCACCCAACGGTCTCATCGACCGGTAGACCTCCCATCAGTCCGCCGAGCCTGGCCTTCTGGAGGCTGCCAAAGATGTGGTTGTGGATGACGAAGAGGGGAAAGAGCGGCGTCCAGTGGATGATCTCGATATAAAAGACGACGAAGATGCTCCCGTTGCTGTTGGAGGAGATGGGACCACAGTTGAATCACAGATGTGAACAAATGTTAGGAGATTGTTACGCTAGGAGATTGTTAAGCATGGCAATGACGTATTGCCCATTTATATATACAATTTATAAGCGCTCTGTTTTGCAACTAATACCAAACTGATAATTGTTCTCTTATATATATATATATATATATATATATATATATATATATATATATATATGTGAGATTTTTAAAAAATGTATCATGTGTGNTTGTTACGCTAGGAGATTGTTAAGCATGGCAATGACGTATTGCCCATTTATATATATAATTTATAAGCGCTCTGTTTTGCAACTAATACCAAACTGATAATTGTTCTCTTATATATATATATATATATATATATATATATATATATATATCCGTGAGCATTAAGTAAAGTGTAGCATGTGTGAAAGTAAAGTCAGACATACAAACCTTATAAAAGTGTTCGATACGTGAACATATTTATGTTTTACAAACTCTTTGAACTCAGTGTCCTAATATGCATATGAAATTCGACCCGTTTTTATTACGGGGAAATAAATACTTTAAATCATTGAATCTGGAAGGAGGAGCACGATTCACTGAATGACTAAGTAATCGTTTAAGACTTAATCATGTACTTGGTTATTTTTTTTCTTGACTTAAAATGACCAGATGGCTTATTATCAATTTTTTTTTTTTTTTCAATTTTACAGAAAAAACGAATCGTCTCACAATCCCATGATGCTCCACTTACTGTATTGATAAAACACTGCAATTGACGGAGTAATTGAATGAGGTGGGCTGCAGTTCCCGGAGCACCTGAAATATTGGAAATTGGTCAGTTGTTTTTCTTTGCGATTTCGTAACAATGTTAATACTTTCCTTAGCGCTACATTAATAAAGATCACGTTAGGATCCGTACTACGGTGATCACGTTAATCTTGTCACGGCAGTGATCACGTAGACCTGGACACTGCAGTGATCACGTCGACCTTGACACTGCAGTGATCACGTTAGCCTTGACACTGCAGTGATCACGTTATTCTTGTCACTGCAGTGATCACGTTGACCTTGACACTACAGTGATCACGTTGACCTTGTCACTGCAGTGATCACGTTAGCCTTGACACTACAGTGATCGCGTTATTCTTGTCACTGCAGGTATCACGTTCACCTTGACACTGCAGTGATCACGTCAGCCTTGACACTGAAGTGATCACGTTGGCCTTAACACTGCTGTGATCACGTTGACCTTGACACTGCTGTGATCACGTCAGCCGTTGCACTTGATATTGTTTGCTAGCAGCATATGGAAGAGCAGACAATAAAATATTACCGCTTCGCACAGACGTTTCTCCAACTGCACAAACACTTGCGACTTTGTGTCTCTGAGTTCATCCCGGTACGTCTCACTGGTGAAACGGAAGTTCATGTTGAGGACTTTTAGATCTGTCATTGACAAAGGGACTTCTGTTAAAGGCTAAGTAAGACGTGGCAAGGATTTAATGTTACATGAAATTTACATACTTAAGTCGGACATTATTTTAACTGGAGTGATTACATCCATAATTTAATCCAGTAGCATGGTCTGTACCATGAAGACCAAGTATATCAAGATGGCCCAGTACGCCAAAACTGGCCCACTATGCCAAGATGATCCAGTATCCCAGTATGGCCCAGAATACCAAGATGCTACCCCCACTCTCCACCCTCTGTTTTCCCCCTATAATTTGGCACATCTTTAAGGTTTTTTTAAACTTCTAATTTTTAGTTTATCATTTTTTGTTTCACTATTTACAGAAGTGTGGAAAATATACAGATAGCTATTTTTTAAATTTTTTTTTTGGTAATGACGCCACTCACCTTGACTGGGGTCTGATTTCGTCTTTGTAACTGAAAAAGCAAAAACAAAAAAAGGAAACGTTGTTAATTTAAAACATCTAAAAAAAAAAAAGAAATACTAAACCCTTCCAGGGAAACAAAAAATGTGGCAGGAGTTGGTAAGTGTTTCATGAAATTGTACGTAGATACGCCATCCCTCTTCCCACTTTACGATTCCCTCCCACCACCCCTGCGACCCCCCCCCCCAAAAAAAAAAAAATAATAAATAAATAAATAAATAACTTATAAAGCAATTAAAAAATTCGATGCTTTCTCCACCAAAGAAACGGAAGGAAATAGAGATTTATGTGTCATCCTCCTCAATACTCAACTTTGAAGCTAAAAATAAATTTTAAAAAACGTTCATGTTTTACAAATACTTTTGGCACAAACATGTCTACTGACGCCATGTTGAGTCGTTTAATGTCCCTGCGATCATCGGTAAAACACGTCACTAAAATTCTGCTGTTTTTGTGTTGCTTGTTTGTTGTTTGTTTGTTGTTTGTTTGTTGTTTGTTTGATGTTTGTTTGTTGTTTGTTTGATGTTTGTTTGTTGTTTTTGGATGTTTGTTTGTTTGTTGGCGGTTGGTTGGATGTTTGTTTGATGTTTGTTGGATGTTTGTTTGTTTGTTGGCAGTTTGTTGGATGTTTGTTTGTTGTTTTTTGGATGTTTGTTGTTTGTTGGATGTTTGTTTGTTTGTTGGTAGTTTGTTGGATGTTTGTTTGTTGTTTGTTGGATGTTTGTTTGTTGTTTGATGGATGTTTGTTTGCTGTTGGTTTTTCTTGGTGGGGAGTTTACTGTTTTTTTTTCTGTTTCATACATGTTCCATCAGTACGCATTAATCGAGATCGCACCCTCCCCCCCCCCCCCCCCCCCCCCCCCCCCCCCCCCCCCCCCCCCCCCCACCCCCCCCCCATGTTTGTTTGTTGTTGGTTTTTCTTGGTGGGTAGTTTTCTGTTTTTTTTTCTGTTTCATACATGTTCCATCAGTACGCATTAATCGAGATCGCACCCTCCCCCCCTCCCCCCCCCCACCCTCCCCACCCCTGGCCACCCAAGCTCCAGTCACAGCGTTGTGCTGAATCTAATTCTCTAATCAGTTTACAGTTATCATTTAACATCATGAGTTAGGGTTAGTGTTGTTACATACGTTTTGCAGCCAATGGTTAGGTCGAGATGACCAGAGTTTTCTAAATGTGGATGGCCCCAGGGGTGTGGGATAGTGGTGTTAAAAACCTTTCTGTTAGACTGTCAATAGGGACTGAGGCTCTCGTGTGTCTGGGTGATCAAATGAATGTGGGCGGGGGGGGGGGGGGGGTTGAGCCGTGTGCCCCGTGACCACCCGAGTTCAGCTGGG